GGCCGGGTCCTGATGGAGAGCAGGCAAGGTTGCAGGGCACAGAGAGGGTGCAGGGTGCAGAGGGGGTGTGGGGTGAACTGGGGGTGCAGGGTGCAGAAGGGGTACAGGGTGCAGAAGGGGTGCGGGGTGAACTGGGGGTGCAGGGTGCAGAGGGGGTGTGGGGTGAACTGGGGCTGCAGGGTGCAGAGGGGGTGCAGGGAGCCAGGGACTGAGCCCACCACATCCTGTTTCTCGTACCTTCCAGAGCCCGGCTGAGCATGGCCTCCCGGAGAGCCTCAACTGCGGGGAAGTGCAGGCCGCTGGCAGGCTGCAGAATCAGGACTGGCCCATCAGACACCTGGGGACGTGGGGGAGAAGACAGTCCTGGGGGAACGGCTGACTGGCAGGTGGGCTGTCAGCACACACAGCCTCAACCTGAGCCCAACAGGCCAGAGGGGATGAGGTGTCGACAGCTGGCCACATGCCCAAAGGGACAGTACTGGGGTTTCCAGCAAGGAGGTGACTTCAGGATGAAGAGGCGAGTCTGGGGTCCTGCTCCCTACACACCCTGCTGTTCCCCAAGTCTCCTGGGCATGGCAGGAACCCTCCTCCCCCTACTCCCCGAGCAGCCCAGGTGACAGCCGGTACCTGGGTCCTGGGCCTGGCCACGGAGTGCAAGAGGATCAGTGCGGACACCAGAGTCCCCGCCAGGATTCCGTACTGCACCTCCCAGAAGCAGAGCAGGAAGGTCACACTGAGGGGCAACAGGTCCAGCCCTGGGGAGGCGGGGGGAGCAGCTCAGAGGCGCCAGCTCTCGGGGAGCCCAGTACCTGCCCAGCCACTGCCTCGGCACCCCGGGCCAGCGGGATGACGTCCTGGCTCCTCACTTACTGATCAGAGAAGATCCTGACCCAAAGCAGCCAGGGGCCCTGGGATGGGGGCACCTGCTCACGTGGATGGCCAAGTCAGGAGGAAAGCCCCTTCCCACCAGAGGGGAGGAGGAGTGAAGGCCTGCCCGCCCAGCTCCCCGAGGCCTGAGCGCCCTCCGTAAGTTAAGAAGAGGGGATGTCGGGGGCAGAGCCGGGCCTGAGAGGTGGGGGGCGGGAGGCTGTGCGGGACCACAGGGGCCCCTCCGAGGACAAGCCTCAAATTCTCCAAGCCGCACGTGGGAGGAGATGTTCTAAAAGGTAGTGGCGTGGGCTTTGCAGTCAGCCCTGAACTTCACCCACCACACGTTAGCTCAGATGCTCGTCCTCCCGAGCCTCAGTTTTCCGTAAGTAAAACTGGCACGTCCATGCCTACTTGAGGGCAGCTTTAAAGATTAAATGCAACAATGTATGAGAAATCCAGAGCGTAAAGTGCTCGGTGAAAGGATAGTTACTTCACTTGATAACCAGCCGGGCTGACGAGAGAAACCAGATACACTCCACAGACCCTTTAAACTCTTTAACAAACAAGAAATGACAAAAACTGGTGTCACCGAAGGAGCTGCTGGTTCAGGAACTCCTGTCTTCTGGTGCCCATGGGCTGGGCTGGACCCTGCCGTCACCCCAGAACCCCCATCTCTCCCCAGTGAAGCAGCACGAGCAGACAAAGGCCGTTGGCCAAGAAAAGGCACAGGGACGGGGAACTCACGTGGGGTGACCCGCCCAGATACGTGCGTGGCTGGACGGGGGTCCCATTCAGGGATGGGGAGCTGAAGGGAGCCTTGCTGCCCCTGCAGCCCCAACCCACCGACCACAGGCATCTCCCGGCCTTCAGCGCGTCCTACACTGTCCTGTCCTGGGGCGACAAGACGGTGAGGGAATCCAGTACAACCCCAAAGCTGTTTACCCTTGGTGTGGGCTGAACAGTGCTCCCCAAAAAACGTATGCTGAAGTCCTACCCCCCAGTACCTGGAAATGTGACCTGATTTGGAAACAGGGTCTCTGCAGAGGTAATCAAGGTAATGTGAGGTCAGGCTGGGTTAACCAAAACCAAACCCACTGCTGTCCAATCGACTAGGTTAGGTGGGCCCTAGAGCCAAAGACAAGTGTCTTTATAAGGAGAGGGGCGTGGACAGAGACGCCCAGGGAGAAGGCCACGTGATGACGGAGACAGAGATGAGAGTGATGCCATCTACAAACAAGCAATGCCAAGCCTGGCTGGAGACCACCAGGCAAGAAGATCCTCCCCTAGCGCCTCTGGAGGGAGCGCGGCCCAGCCGACACCCGGAGTTCGGAGTTCCGGGCTCCAGAACTGAGAGACGATCCGAGTCTGCTGTTTCAGCCCCCGTGTGTGGTACTGTCTTCCGGCCGCCTCAGGAGGCTCACATGCCCTCAGCTCCCAACCACCCTGATGTGGGTGGGTCACGTGTCGCCGGCGCCACGGGAAATACGTACTCTTGACACGCCAGAGCGTCCCGAAGATCTTGGCGTCAAACAGGGGGGCCACAGCCATGATGATTACGGCGGCCAGGGCGGACTTGGGGATGTAGTAGAACAGTGAGGTCAGGTAGTCCAGTGACAGCAGCACGAGCACACCTGCGGGGGGCGGGGGAGGGTCACAGCCAGGACGCACAGGTTCGCACCCAGGCAAGGGCACTGGGAGATCTGTGTGTGAGCCCCCCGCCCGGGAGGGGACAGGCAGCGCCGCCCGGAGGCAGGAACAGAGTCCCACCCCTTGCCCCACACCCGTGGGATCCAGGTGGTCCAACCAGACACGTGCCCTTCGATTGTGGGTCCCCTTCCTTTCCCTCCACCTACCCCAACTGCCGGGGGGGGGACAGAGGAAGATAGCAGGGGGCTCACCTGTCACCAGCCCCCCCGCTGGGGTGCACACGCCTGACTGGGCGTTCACGGCCGTCCTGGAAGGCAATAAGGAGGCGTTAACCTGGTCAGCAGGCCCGGAAGAGGCGCAGCCGACACGGCCGTGAGCAGACGTCCTCATGGGACCGGCCGAGCAGGTCCTGAGCCCCCGGCCTGTCCCCCTTCTCCCGCAGGACTAACGTAACCCTGGCATCGGGACGACGCGAGCACATCCGTGCACTGGGACTCTCAGTGGTCAGCACAGCCACGTGCTGAGAAGAGCAGCGTGTGCCCCCGCCTGCCCTTCCGCAGCGACAGCTCGTGGAGGGCGTCCGCTGCGAGAAGGAGGGCCAGCTTCCAGCTGCGAGACCACGGCAACGTGGGGACATGGGCAGAGCGCCGGCGGGGCTGTGCCTGTCGGCCGGCAGGGCCGCCCTTGCCTGGCTGCCCTCCCCCAAGACCATCGAGGAGGAAGGACGTGGTCACTCACCGTCCGAAGCTGCCCGTGACTGGGTAGGAGGAGACAAGGGAGCCCAGCGTGTTGGTGAGGCCTAGGAGGGGGGTGGCGAGCAGAGGGGGGGCCGGGAGGGGAGGGGCCCGAAACAGAGGGGAGACGAGATGCGGGGAAGATAAAAAACGGAGAGTGAGTAGGAGAATAGAGAGGGGGCTACTCCGGGGGAAGGATGGGGTCTTCTCTTGCTCTCTCTGCCCGTCTCCTTCTGTCACTGTCTACCTATCTCTCTGTCTCTCGATGTCAGTGTCTCTCCCTCTCTCTGCCTCTGTCTCTCCCTCTGTGTGTCGCTATTTCTGTGTCTCTGTCTCTCTGTCTCTGTGTCTCTCCCTCCATGTCACTGTTTCTCTGTCTCTCTGTCTCTGTGTCTCTCCCTCCATGTGTCACTGTTTCTCTGTCTCTCTGTCTCTGTCTCTCTCCCTCCATGTGTCACTGTTTCTGTCTGTCTGTCTCTCCCTCCATGTGTCACTGTTTCTCTGTCTCTGTCTCTCTGTCTCTCCCTCCGTATGTCTCTGTTTCTCTGTCTCTGTGTCTCTCCCTCCGTATGTCTCTGTTTCTCTCTCTCTCTGTCTCTCCCTCCGTATGTCTCTGTTTCTGTTTCTCTGTCTCTGTCTCTCTCCCTCCATGTGTCACTGTTTCTCTGTCTCTGTCTCTGTCTCTCCCTCCATGTGTCACTGTTTCTCTGTCTCTGTCTCTCTGTCTCTCCCTCTGTATGTCTCTGTTTCTCTGTCTCTGTCTCTCCCTCCGTATGTCGCTGTCTCTCTCTGTGTCTCCATCTCCCTCTCAGAAGAAAAAACAAACCATGGCCTTTGCCGAGCTCCCCGAGGTTGACTCCGGCTCCTGCATGTCTGTGGCTCACATACACCTTCCCCCCTACCCCCCTTTATAAAGGGGAGAAGCACCTCGCCCCATGAGGCGTGCTGTCAGACAAGGACACACGAGACAGACCCAGAGATCTGAGAACGGGCCACCTGCCCACGGCACTCAGCAGCCTCCCTCACGCCGACGAGGGTGACGCGCAGATCAGTGCGCCTCCCATGCGGCGTGGACCCTGCCTGCAGCCTCGTCAGCACCCGGACCGGACAACCAAGATGACGGGCTGTGTGGATCAGAACCTTGCCCAGGGTCCTTCGCTGAGGCGGTGGTTCCCCAACTGTGTAACCATGACAGGGTCACAGGTTCACCAGGAGGCAGCACAGCGTGGGGCCCACCCCGCACGGGGCCTCCCCGGCCACATGCCCACCACGTCCTTGAGGGCGGACCCGGTGAGGACAAGCCTGTACTGGGGCAGGGGCAGCAGGGGCCTGGCCAGACAATGACCGCAGGCTGCACATGAGCACCCACCCCATCACACCGGAATCCACAGATCCCAGCCTCGGCCAAAGACACAACTCCGTGCACAGGTACTGAGCTGGGGGTGCGCCCTGCGGCTGACACCTGCAGGTTAGCTGGTCTCCACCAAGCGCCACTGAAAGCTGCTGGGCCCATTTCATATCCACATGCGATACGTGTGGCCTTTCCAGCCATGGTCTTGTAATTCACACCCGAGTGATTGGGCGGGACTGTGTGATAGGGTAATTGTGGCCCGCAAAAGGGACTAGTCAGTTTTGCCATCCTGCTGGGCTTGAAATGAGCTACCCCAGAAGTGGGAAGAAGAGAGGACCCCACCACAGCCAGGGAAGAAGAGCTGGGAGCCAGAGTGTCCTTTGGACCCAGAATCCCTACGCTGGGAGGCCCGTGGGATCAGGAGACAGAGCTAGAGCGAGCTCTAACTCTGAAGATGGTAAGAAGTGGAGGCAGCAGAGAGCCGGCAGCACGAGACAGCGCAGTGGGATTCCCAGCCCACTGAGAGAGAAAGCTGAGTGCCTTTGGGCAGAGACCGAGGGCCAGGGAGGGGCGTGCCTGCGAGCACGGCTGGGAAGAGGCTGTCCTGATGGAAGAACTGTATCCTGAGCGTTCCTGAGCCTGAATTGTAACTATTACTTCCCTAATAAACCCCACAATCATGAGTACGGTCTGTGAGTTGTGTGGCTGTTGCAGTGAATGATGGAGCCCAGCAGAGAAGTAGAGAGTGCCGTGGGAAGGACGGTTGGTGTCAGAATTGGTAAAGACGGCAGAGAGAGGAGGCATGTCTGACCCCCGCCTCACAGAAATCAGCCTTGGGCTGTTGATCTTGGTTCTCCTTCCCCCTTGTGGGGTTGGAAAAGGTCAGACACTGCCCCAAGCCATTTTTACACCACAAATGTCTAGTCCACAGCAGGAAACGCACCCGCTGTTAATAACCAGAGCTGGCACTCTGTGATCAGCGGTCGGACCCTTCCCTGGATTGTAGTTTGTCTGGGTCACCGTGTCCTCGGGATGTGAACTACGTGTCACTGGTGGTGTCACGGGAACGAGACGCACTGAGAAACTGCGTTTGGGAGTCTGGCTGGTGGGTGCTGGGGAGTCTGTAGGTTTTCTCTGCCCCGGAGCAGGTGAGTCCCAGGAGATCCCAGCTCCACCATCAGCAGGCAACGTCCCACTCACCAGGGCTCAGAGAGCAGCACTGGTAGGGTCCCTTGTGACTCACCCTGGGGCCCCACAACCTCTGCGTCAAGAACCCACGTGGTTCGAGTCCCAAACGCTGCCACTGAGGCTGTCGGGTGTTACTGGTGCACACCCCTCAGGGAGGAGCCCGGCGCTGCCACCTGGTGAGACCCGGGGCCCCTCATAAGGGACCACCATAGACCAAAAGCCACGGTGAGGACCAGTTTAGGGCCCCCGCAGCAGTGTCCCAACAAACCACTAGGGAGGTCAGAGTCGTTAAAACAAAAGAAAGCAACACTGTGAATCCAGGCAGCCAGGTCCTCCCTGGGCCCACTGATCCACCTGCTCTGCCTCAGGGGACCAAGGGCAGAGATGACAGTGCTCAAAGTCCACTCAGGTCAACAGCCTCACCCAATGCTACCTGGCTGCATTGCTAGCTTTCTGCCCTGTGGGCCCCATAGCTCCCTCCTGGAGGCAGAACACTGCAGACATTCCAGGGCAGGGAGCACAGCAATGTCCTGCACACAGCAGACACTTAATAGGTGGCAGTCAGAGCTGACACCACGTCAGCTCCCTATTCCTAGCAGCTAAACTGAACTATCTGGGGATCTGAGGGGGAGTCCACGCTCACATTTCAGAAGGACCCAGCTCCGGGCCACCTCCATGCCTGCATCTCCTCCCGACCATCACACCCGTGTACCATGTGAGCAAGACGCAGAGGAGCCCACACAGACCGTGAGCCCTACGGCCAGAGCCTTACCAATGGCCACCAGCTCCTGGTTGGCGTCGACACGGTAGTTATTCTGAGAAGCTGAAAAGAATGGAGAGTAAAATCCGGTCAGCAGGTGTACAGTGTCAGAAAGAAAACGTTCATGAGATGAAAGACAGCTAATGAGATTCCACATATGGTGGTATCTAGATTTTATGAACAGGCGTGTACACATACACACATACTATATACATCCAACTCTTAATAAGACAGGGTAAAACTGCCCCACAGGGTTTCCAAGGAGCTCCTGGTGGATTCAAACTGCTGACCTTTTGGTTAGCAGCCAAACACTTAACTACTGTGCCACCAGGGCCCTAAGGAAACCCTGGTGGCCTTGTGGTTAAGAGCTACAGCTGCTAACCAAAAGGTCGGCAGTTCAAATCCACCTGGCGCTCCTTGGAAACCCTGTGGGGCAGTTCTACTCTGTCCTACAGGGTTGCCATGAGTCAGAATTGACTCTACAGCAATGGGTTTGGTTTGGTTTATATACATACATGCACGTGTCTACGGGTATGTGTACGTTTGTGTCACAAGAAGAGAGCAGAGAGCTGTATGGTAAAATGCCAGCAGGTAACTGGAGTAGTGAGAACACTTACGGGGATTTGTTTTTTCTTTATATATTTTTGCACTTTCAACATTTTCTACAATAAACAGGTACCATTTTTACAAGGGAAAAAGTTTTAAACTAAAAACCTCCTTGTTTACAAGCCCGGCTGACTAGAAGGTCAAAGGTGAGACATCCCAGAGGGATGAGCAGACAGTGATTTCAGGGGAAGACAGAGGGATCTGGGAGTCCCTGGGAGGCGTAAACAGTTAACACACTCGGCTGCTAACTGAAAGGCTGGAGTTCAAGTCCACCCAGAGGCACCTCAGGAGAAAGGCCTGGCGTGAAGAATCCGCCAATAAAAACCCTATGGAGCGCAGAGTCCTACTCTGACACACATGGGGTCGCCATGAGTCGGAGATCAACCCGATGGTAACTGGTCTGATTTTTTTATGCGGATGTGAATCTAAGGCAGGGGTTGGCAAACGTTTCTGTCAAGGGCCAGGTGGTAAACGTTTTCGGTTTTGTGAGCCGTGCCAGGTCGCAGGTATGCGGAGGCAGCTAGACAGCACGATGTCAACCTCTCAGGAATTTTGCGAGTGGTTCTTAAAAGCTGCCGTTATCACCAATCAAATCAAAACTTTCAATTAATGAATTACATTAAAAACAAGATACGACTTAAAACCCATTGCTTGCTAATTTATTGTATTACGTTTTACTATTCCCAAAGCTCCCGAGGTTATTCATATCTATGGCATCTGTACGGTGATCCTGTATGATGGCAGTGACTGGGTCTCTCATCTCAACTCTAAACGTGACCCACGTTTAGTGAGTCACGTTCGGCTTGAAGTCAGCCCTGGTGGGAGTGTTTACACCACAGGAATTGGCAAAGGCTACAGAGCTGGGCCTTTGACTTCCACGGAATGCCAGCTGTTGAACATTCACTGGGCACACCACCAGAAGGAGCTTTTCATTATAAATCTATTTTTACTGCAGATTCTAAAGACATAACATAGGCAGGTTCTACTTGGATAAAAATTCAAATTTTTAAAATTCAAGCAGATAAAATGCAAGCAAGAAAGCAGGCAACAAGCAAAGCAGGCAGCTCCCAGGATGAGACCACCAGGGTGGGCCTGTGTGACAAACATCTTACCGAAGGCTTTGGCCACTGCGATGCTCTCCAGCAGGCCCATCAGGGGCACCACGGCCAGCCCAGCCCCCATGTCCTGAGAAGGGAGGGAGGGACAATAAGCAGCCTTGTAAGCCCACACCTTCCTAACTCCAGGTAAGGAAAGGATGGGTCTGGCTGAGCACAGACCTCCCAAGGCAGGGATCAGCTCTTCTCCACATCTCCTAACCGAAGCAGATGTACTTCAGCTGCAGGACCATGAACTTACACATGCAAGGAAATACCTCCTTATTGTGAATGATTACAGAACACGACAAAGTCATTTCTGCCGGTGTCCAAAACAGGAGGGACGCCTCTGGGTTCTAGCTCAAGGCAGTCCCTGGGTAGTGCTCACTGCTAACAGAAAGGTTAGAGATTCAAGTCCACCCAGAGGCATCCTGGAAGAAAGGCTTGGCAATCCTACTCTCAAAAAATCAACCACTGAAAACCCCATGAAGTACAGCTCTTCTCTGACGCACATGCAGTCACTGTGAGCCGGAATCAACTTGATGGCAACTGGTTCTGGTTTCTCAAGGCAGGAAAACCAACGTGATGTCCCCTTGAAGTTCTGTCCAAGCTGGGATTCTTTTGTCAGCTGTCTTTGTACCCAGACACACCCCTTACTGAGGGCTCAGCAGTCCTAATGGGACTCAGACTTCCCCTCACTAAGCAGATGCATTAGGGACATGGAGTTTCCCATCTCGGCTTACCTGGACCATCTCAGTGAAGGAAATCGTCCCGTTGGCGGTGGTCACTGAGAAAGGAGGGGTCCGGACAGGAGGGAGCCCCTCGGCTATCTCCCCAGTAAGAACAAAGGGCTGGTATCCAGTCACTTCGAAGGAGTATGCAACCAGGGCAGCAAAAGAGACGACCAGGGCATTTCGAGCTAGAACAGAGGGAACAACACGTCAGTGACAGGCCACTCCCAGAAAATACAGGAAAGTTTAAAGCCAGACACTTATCTATGTCTGGGTGACTGTGGGAGAAGACACCACAGGAGTGGAACACCCCACCAGCCATGACCACTTACATTCCACCCTTGTCGATACAGCACAGATACAGTGGACGTTTGCAGGCGTGAACACGTGGTTATAGACTGTGCACAGGGTGGCACAAAAGACGGCAATACAAAGACAAGTAAGCACACCATGTACGGAATGTCTAGCATCCAATCAAAAATTACCATGCATGCAAAGAAGCTGGAAAACATGTCCCATAAGGAGGAGAAAAACCAATTAATCAAAACTGATATAAAAATGACACAGGTGACAGAATTAGCAGATAAGAATATTAAAACAGAAATTATAACTGTTTTCCATATGTTCAAGAAGCTAAAGGAAAAACTACGCATGTTAAATGGAAATGTGGAAGATAGAAAAAATTGAACATCTAGAAATGAAAACTACAGTGTCTGAGATGAAAATACACTGGATGGGATTAACAACGGATTAGCCACTAAAGAAAAAAGACTAGTGAACTAACTTAACAGATGTAGCAATGAAACCATCCAAAATGGATCACCAACCAAAACTAAGCCCGGTGCTGTCGAGTCGATTCCAACTCATGGCAACCTTATAGGACAGAGTAGAACTGCCTCATAGAGTTTCCAAGGAGTGCCTGGTGGATTTGAACTGCCAACCTTTTGGTTAGCAGCCGTAGCACTTAACTACTGTGCCACCAGGGTTTCCAAAATGTATCACATAAATGAAAAAAAATATTGAAAAACTTATGCAGAACATTAGCAAGCTGAGGAACAATGTCACATGGCTTAACACACTCACTGAACCGGAGTCTGCAAAGGACGGGGGGCGGGGGGGGCAGAACAATATTTGAAGAAATAAGGGCTGAAATTTTTCACAAATTTGATGAAAACTGTAAACCCACATACCCAAGAAGCTAAATGAAACCCAAGCACAAGAAACATGAAGAAAACTGTACCACAGCACATCATATTAAATTGCTTAAAACCAGTGATAAAGAGAATACCTTAAAAGCAGCCAAAAAAAAGGCAACATACAGAGGAACACAGATAAGAATGACAGCAGATTTCTTGTCGGAAATAAAGCAGGCCAGAAGACAGTGGAGTACTATCTTTAAAGCACTGGAAGAAAAAAAAACTGTCAACCTGGAATTCTGTGTCCAGCAAAAATACCTTCCAAAAATAAAGGCAAAATTAAGAGCTTTTTGACACACAAAAGCTGAAGGAATTTATCACCAGCAGGTCTATACTACAAGAAACGATTAAGAAAATCCTTCAAGGAAGAAGGAAAATTATGCCAGATGGAAATCTGGATCTATACAAAGACGTGAAGAGCACTACAAACAGTGACTACACGGGTGAATATAAAAAACGTTTTTTCTTACCATTTAATTCTCTTTAAAAATAATTAACTATTTAAAAGAAAGATAGTAACAATTACTGTGGGGTTTATAAGAAATACTGAAGTCAAATACATGACAATCGCACAAAGGCCAAGAAAGAAGAAACAGATGTACTGTTACAACGTTCTTGTATTACACATGAAGTCATATCAGTTGAACATGGAACGTGATAAACTAAAAATGTACACTATAAACCCTGCAGCACCTACTAAAAGCAAACAAATAAAAAAGCACACACACACAACAGTTACAGCTACGAAGTCAACAAAGGAAATAAAACAGAGTAATAAACAACACTCAATCCAGAAGAAGCAGGAAAAACGGAACAAAGAACACGTGCGACAAATAGAAAACAAACAGGAATGCGGGAGATTTAAAGCCAGACATATCGATAATCACATAAAACGGAAATCATATATAAACACCTCAATTAAAGACACAGGTTGTTAAAAAAAAAAAATTGTCGTTGTGTCAATTCTGACTCATAGTGACCCTACAAGACAGAGCAGAACTACCCCATAGTGTTTCCAAGGCTATAAATCTTTATGGAAGCAGACTGCCACATCTTTCTCCCACAGAACAGCTGGTGGGTTTGGGCCGCTGACCTTTCAGTTAACAGCTGAGCACTTAACCACTGTGCCACCAGGGATCTCTCTAAAGACACAAATAAGCTAAATAGGTTAAAAGTAAAAGGACAAGAAAATTTATACCTTGCTAACAGTAATCAAAAAAAAAAAAGGTAGAGTAGCTCTATTAGTATCAGGCAAAGTAGATTTCAGAGCACAAAGTATCACCAGGGATAAAGGTCATTTCAACAAAAAATAATAATTCTATATATTTATAGTAATAGAGCTTCAAAATACATGAAGCAAAAACTGATAGCTCTGAAAGAAAAATGGACATATCCATAATTATAGCTGGCGATCTGAACACCCCCTCTCAATAATTAATAGAACAAGTAGAAAGAAAAACAGCAAGGAAAGAAATTAAAACTGAAAATAAATAAAAACAGAAAAAAAAACCCAGCAAGGATATAGTGGCTTTAAATAACACTACCCACTGACTTGATCCAATAGACATTTATAGAACACTCCACCCCACAATAGGATATGTTCTTCTCAGGTGCACACGGAACATTGAACCATATTCTGGGCCATAAAACAAGTCTCAGTAAGTGTAAAAGGATTAAGATCATATAAAGTATGTTCTCTGACAACAATGAAATTAAATTAGAAATCAGTAACAAAATGCTAACTGTGAAATCCCCAAATATTTGGAAACTAAGTAAATTCTAAATAATCTCTGGGTCAAAGGAGAAATCAAAATGACAATCAGGAAGTGTTTTGAACTGAACGAAAATGAAAACACAATGTATCAAGGTTTGTGGGCTGCAGCTAAAGCAGAGTTGAGAGGGAAATTTGTAGCACTAAATACCTATATTAGAAAAGATGGGGTCTCAAAGACTTTCACCTTAAGAACTAGGGATCAAAAAAAGAGAAATTAAACCCAAAATGAGCAGAAGAAAAAAACAGAGATCAGAGCAGTAATGGATGAACTAGAAACAAAAACAATGGAGAAAATCAACGAAACCAAGTTGGTTCCGTGAAAAGACTGATCAAACTGATACATTTCCAGCCTGACTCATCAGGACAAAAAGGCAGATGACTTGTGTGCAAGTCCCCCCTCTGCCTCTTCCCAGCCATGTGACCTTGTTCGTCTACTCGTCTGCCTCATTCTCTTCTTCGACACACCGGGGAAAATACACAACACCCCCATCCTACAGGCTGTTATGAGAATCAAATAAAGTAACGTACGTGAAAGTGCTTCAGAAGCCACAAACCCTTACACGTCAGACTCCAAATCACTCAACTTCTGCATGCTAGACTTTTTCATGTACAAAAGGGAAATAAATAACAGTAACTGTTCTATCTGCCCCACGAGGTTGTTGTAGGGCTCAGAAGAAAAAAGGAAGTGAATGAACCTTTCCTACAAATGGCTGAACAAACAAAAATTACAGCTATAGGATAAGTCGTTTAATTGTCCTCACTTAGCTAACATAGAAGCGAAAACTCTACCTTTTCCAAAACCACTTTGGAGAGCGAGCTTGGTAACTACTCTCTTCAGGGGATGCTACAGCCTCGGGGAGAAGGGGGGTGAGGCTTCAGAGCCGCATTTGCCAAACTCCGACATGCCTGAGCATCCCCTGGGTATCGTGTTAAAATCAGATTCTGATCCGGCAGCTCTGGGGCCGGGCCTGAGAGTCTGCATTTCCAACTGCTGGCCCTGGGCCACATTTGGTTCATTGCTGATTAGCAAGGTGTGATAGGTGGAATAACAGCTTCCCAAAGATGCTTATGTCAGAATCCCTGGAACCTGTGACTAGGTTAGGTTACCTAGCAGGAAGGAATTAAGGTTGCACATGGAATTAAGGTTGCTAATCTGCTGACTTTGACACGGGGAAATTATCCTGGATTATCGAAGTGGCCCTGATGTCATCACAAGGTCCTTAAATGTGCAAGAGGAAGGTGAAGAGTTAGAACCAGTGCTGGCATCGTGACAAAGACTTGCCCCACCATTGCTGGCTCTGAAGACAATGAAAGGAGCCCGGGGACAAGGAATGCGGGCAGCCTACAGACAAGTTGGGAAGGGCAAAGAAGCAGGTTCTCAGGGCTATATCCACACTTCCCTCAGCTCGGAGGGAAGGGTCAGTTGACACCAGGGGCCTCCTCACTTTCCTGAAAACCCATTTCTGGGTGCCACTGACCAGAGCCCAACAGTGGGGGCCACTGTTTCCATCTGGGCAAAGAGCCCAGACAGCATCGAAAGAGAGGTCCCTGCCTCCCCGAGGGGCCTCTTCAGGGAGCCAGCGGCCACACGTACGCCTGTCCTGCAGCCAGGGCAGATTCTCCAACAGGCAAGGTAAGCACAGTGCTTACCTTGCTTACCACATCATCCGTAGTGAACAATTTCACATTTTTTCACCACAGCAAAGACTCTCCTACGTATGGCTGGCATCTCTCTCTCTCCCAACCCTACAGCACCTTTCTACAGGATCAAAGGGACGGATGACCCAGTGAGCAAGATAAGCACGGGCTTACCTGTGCTTACTTACCAGTCTATAATAAACAGTTTCACGTGGGTTTCACCACATCCTTGACGTAGTAAAAAACATGTGAAACTGTCCATTACAAATTAGTAAGTAAGCACAAGTACGCCTGTGTTTACTGAATAATCCACCCCTGCCTACAGCCTTTTCCACGACCTTGCTTTGTGCACCTTATCATTACCTGTGACTCACCTGTCGATGTCACACCTCAAGCACAATTCTTACCCCTAACGGGTGCACAATAAAGACAAAAGCAGTCGGGCTCGAGTGGAAACCTGCTTTCTCCCCAGCGACCTGCCCGGAGCCGAGGGTTTCTCACTACTGCTGTGGTGTGGCCATCCTGTGCACCACAGGGTGCTGAGCACCATCCCTGGCCTCCACCCACCGGATGCCAGTAACACCCGCCCCAGTGTGACAACCAAGTGTGTCCAGACATTGCCCAAGGTCTCCTGGGCGCAGAACCGTTGCTCTAGACCAGTGTTTGCGACCTTGGCTGTTTATCAGAATCACCTGTGGTTGTTGTTGGAGCCCTGGTGGCACAGTGGTTAAGAGCTCGGCTGCTAGCCAAAAGGTCGGCAGTTCAAATCCACCCAGCCGCTCCTTGGAAACCCTGAGAGGTAGTTCTACCCTGTCCTATAGGGTCTCCGTGAGTCGGAACTGACTCGATGGCAGTGGATTTGATCTGGATGTAATTTCGTATTACTGCTGTTTGCTGCTGATGAGTTGGCCCGAGTCATGGCGACCCCATAGATGACAGAATGAAATGCTGCCCAGTCCTGCAACATCCCCATGACCGGTTACAGATCAGACCGTTGTGACCCATACGGTGTTCATTGGCTGATTTTTGGAAGTAGATCGCCAGGCCTTTCTCCCTAGTCTGTCTTAGTTTGGAAGCTCCACTGAAACCTGTTCAGCATCAGAGCAACGTATAACCCTCCAACGGCAGATGGCCAGTGACCGCACGAGGCGCGGGGGCCGAGAATCAAACCCGGGTCTCTCACACGGAAGGTGAGAACTCTACCACGGAACTGCCAACATCCTCCAAAAAAAACAAAAAAACCAAACCCATTACTGTCAACTCAGTTCTGACTCCTAGCGACCCTACAGAATGGAGTAGAACTGACCTATAGGCTTAACGTCCTCCTAGCGACTTTTAAGTATCTCAGTACTGAAGTTATGCCCCAGACCAATTCCATGAGACTCTCTCGGGGGGACACAAGACTCCCTGGTGACCACAGTGGCCAGCAGAGGTGAGCGGGACACTGCAGAAGTAGTCCACAGCCCAACGGATCCCTCACCTGTCGTGGCCGTCCAAACGAGCCCATGGCTGAGCCGCACACCCGGGGGCATCTCAGGGTGGACAGGAGGCACGTGGTCTCTCATCAGCTTCAGCACCAGGAGCAGCACCATGCAGACCAGCCCCAGCACGGCGTCCCCCACCCTGCGGACAGACACAGGTCACCGGCGCACGCAGCCAGTGCCGCCCACCTGCCCGCCCTCGGTGCCCGCTTCAGCTGGAAGCCTTTTTCTCTCCGTGGCTTTTTTGGTTTTTCCCTATTCTGTTCAACTTTACTCTAAACTCAGCGAACAGGCCCGCGCACGGCTGGGAGTCAAGGCCTGAGCACGCTGGCAGCAGTGTTACTGATTTGTTCTCAGTCACGTTGCTCTCGGCGACAGCTACCTCGCTGCACTGAGGCCCCTTCCACCTGTGGCAATCCTTGATTATCTGTGAGTCTCCCCTTCCAGCCCCCCCAGGACGCTTAGCCCCCCAGGCTTCATCGCCAGGGACTCCAAGCTCCTTGCTTCCAGGTGCGTTCACGGGAAGCCCCTGCGGAAGACCAGGAGGAGGAGGGACGTCACAGCCTCTCCCGCCCACCCTCTCGGCTAGGCGCGGCCCCCACCAGGCAGCCCCTCTACAGCTCCTGCAAATGCATTTCTCCTCTTCCCCTCCGGCTAGAGGTCCCGCTTCTTGCTGAGCTGTCTCCGAGCGCCCCAGCATCCTGTTTGTCCCGCCCTCTGCTAGGGACGCCTGCATTCGAGACCGCGGACGGCAGCGCCCCTAGCTGGTTTGTCGCTCTACTTGCCGGCCCCTCAGCACCTGCGCCTCCTGCGTCCACCTCTTTCCCACTCAGCGGTCTCTCTTTTTCAACGTTTATGGCGGCTTTACTCATAATTCCTCAAAACTGAAAATAACCAACGTATGCTTCGACGGCGGATGGACAAAGACTCATCCACACAGTGGACTTTTACCTTCTGCCGTCAAGTCGATTCTGACTCATATGATCCTACAGAACAGAGTAGAACTGCCCTATGGGGTTTCCAAGGCTTTACGGAAGCAGACTGCCACATCTTTCTCCCGCAGAACAGCTGGCGGGTTGGAACCGCCAATCTTCCAATTAGGAGATGAGCGCTTAACCACTGCGCCACCAGGGCTCCTTAGTGGAGTATTTCTCAGCAATAAAAAGAAATGAGCTATCCAATCACAAAAACACACGTACGAACTTAAGTGCACACTACAAAGTGAAAGCAGTCTGAGAAAGTCACATGCTGTATGGTTCCAACCATATGACATTCTGGAAAACGCAAAGCTCTACAGACAGGAAACCAGCAGCTGTTGCTGGGGGCTCAGTGGAGGAAGGAGACACGCAGCCCCAGGTTCTGCTCCTCTCTAGATTCTGAACCTTCTGAGAGCGTGCCTACCTGCTCCTTCCTCAAAAAGCCTCTCCTGTCCCACCCACCACCCAGACTGCTTGGTAGGGCGGCCTGAAGCTCTCAGGTCACCTAGAGCACCCCTCAAGTACTGATTCTGCTCAGCAGGTCTGGGGCGGACCTGAGACTCTGTGTTTCTAACAGGTCCCAGGTGCTGCTTCTGCTCTGGGGACCTGCCGTTTGCGCAGCCGGTCCCACAGACTGGAGTCAATGCCCCCTGGAGTGGAGGTGGGCGGAGGGGGTGGCCTGGAAGAAGGAGTGGTCCTAAGTGGTAGAAGCACAAAGCCACCGGTACCTGGTCTCTCCGATGTTGAGGAAGGTGTAATACACCTGCAGGAAAAACTGCCTGGGGATGTCCTGCAGTCCCAGGAGGTTCTGCGCAAACAGAGATGCCCATTAGACAACCCCCTGAGGCCAAGGCCTGGGGCGGCCCCGCCCCGCCCTCCGCGCCCAAAGAAGCCGCACCAGGAAGGGGAGGGGGTGCACCCCGGGGCTGGAATCTTCCCGGGGGTCTGGGGTCCTTCCTGGGGCCCATCCCCTGGCCCTGGGCAGCCATTTCCCCAGCCTCAAAGCCCGAGGCAGGAGCCTCTCACCCTGGAGGGGGGCACCTCACAACCTCTGGGATCAATGACGTGTTTTGCCAAACCACTTTCATTTTAAGAAAAATTGGTCCAAGAAACTCCCAGGCCGGGAGACC